AAATTTTGACGCTGTTTTCCTTTTCATGAATTTCAATTGACGCCGGCGTCAATTGTGGTCATGCGACCTTCTTGCCGCTGAAAATGAGCGTCGAGCGTCAGCATGAAAAGGCACCTTAAGAAATAAAAATGTGTAAATCATGTAAAATTTTAAATATATACTTAATGAAATACAATAAAACCTTAAATAAATAAATAAACTATTGACAATTAAACCTACGTTTATTAGTTTATTTATGTATTTATTAAACTCTTGTCTTAATTCTGTTCTGGTTTAGTTACGTAATTTGATTAGGGTCAACCGCACGTCCACAGTGTAGATTCTGAATTATAGTGTGAGGAGGAAGAGTTGAAACCTCGGTTGAAACGCAATTTACTTAGATAATAATAAAAAGACATATGTAACGAAAAAAAATAAATATTTTATTCAAACAGAATAAAATTAAGGAACGTTTTTTGTAATTATTAAAATATACATTTAATAACATCTAATAATTTTAAATAAAATGTAGACTTGAATAAAATAACAATCTAAATATAAATTTTATTGCATATATGTTTTGTTTTCCTCCCGACTTTTTTAATAGTTTGTTTAGCAACATCTTTTTCGAATTGTTCAAGTAATTGCAATTCTTCACTCGTTACACGGAAGTCGCGGATCAGGACTGCTAGATAAAAGAAAGACAAAATAAAATAGATATAAGCATTATAAGTATTAATGTTTTATTTATATACAAATTATTATTATTACAAGTAATCGCTCCAGTGCTGCAATGTAAAATAGTACATAATAGTACAATTTGCTAATATTAGTATGCATTTAATAGTACCCTTATCGAAATTTAATAAGTGATTATTTGGTGATTAATTAATTTTGAGTATTTGTACGTGCAATGGCTTTGTCCATTTATTTTCCGTGCAGTCCGAAGAGAAATGTCGCTCACATATACTTGCTGAAAATTACACATAAGTTTTCAGAATAAGGGCCAAAGCACATATGACAGTCGTAGTCGTGGACGTAAGAAACGCACAAGCTTTGGCGTATCCTGATTTGTCAGGTCGAGGACTACGACTGTCGTATATCGCTACGCCATGTTATGTGCTTTGGCTCTAACACAAATTATATACTGTATACGAATTCAAATGATTCTTAAAATTTACCGCTGTTTATGTTTAAATTTTCTTCTTCTCGGTAGCAATAAGTTTCGAGCCATTTTTCTTTTAACTCGCGATTTTGCGGGAATGGAAAGAACTTGATGTCTTTCGTTTTCGTAGCTTCACCGGAACGACTTTTGCAATTTCTCACGCAACAAGTCGGCATGATTCCTAGTAGATGATCATAAATACATATTATTTAGCAAATATCAACCAATATAATGGCTGCGTTCAGCCGAACCTCTGCTTAGCGAAGCGAAAGGTAGCAACTGAATGGCCGGTATTCATAGTCGGTTCTTATATTTAAGACCATCTTAAGTACAATCTTAAGATGTCATTAACCAATCACAGAGCCGTATTAGCATCTTAAGATATTACTTAAGACGGTCTTGAAATAAGATCTGATTATGAATACCGGCCAAATGTGATTGGTTCTTACCTTTGGATCCAACAAATTACACTTAAGGGGTTATACGCAGTCATAAATGTCAAAAAAATCGATTTTTTAGAAAAGACATTTTCTGAAAGTATATCATCTTATAAATATTCTCTGAAAGTTTCAAGTTGATCGGATAAAAATTCACAAAGTTATAGGCTTTTATGTAGACGCCCGTCGGAACGCTCGCGCGGGTTAGGTTAGATATACAGCGGCAGCTGCGTTAGGGACAATGATGTTTTGAGCGCAATAAAACCTGTTTATGAAGATTTGAGTAAAGATACTTTATTGACAAGATGTGTAGGCGGTTTTACTCAAAACAATAACGAGAGCTACAACCAACTTATCTGGAAAATCAGCCCAAAAATTGTTCCAAGTGGCTCAATTATTGTCAATTTAGCTGCACACATTGCTGCCTGCGTATTTAATGAGGGTACTCAGAGTCCTATTCTTTATATAGAA